TTCACTGGGATGGTTGCAAAATATGGAGCGTTGAGACCATTTTTGTGTGATGCAAAGGCAATCCGGGCCCCGAGTTGTTTTCGCCTAAGTTTGGCGGGCCGGGTCGTGGCAGGGTACGGTCGGTCGGTCTGTTGGTCAGCCGGTCGGTCAGTCGGTCGCCCGAAAGAAACCTTCAACCCAACCCCTAAATCCACACCCAGCCCTAGCCCTAAACCAGCCCTACTCCCCCCCTATCCCCACCCCAAACCAAGCCTATACAAACCTGAAACCCACCCTAAACCATCTCCAAACCACACGACACCAACCCAAAGCAAGCCCGAAAGCAGCCCTAAACCAGCCCTATACGAACCCTAAACCCTTCCTGAACCGCGCTAAACCATCCCTAGACTACATCAATTCAACCTGAAACAGACCCTCAGCAAACCCTATACCAACCCTAAACCCACCCGAAACCACTCTCAACCAACCCTAACTTGCACCAAACCAGCATAAATCTATCCGAAACCCACCCAAAGCCAGCCCCAAACTCACACCAGCTCTAAACTAGCCCGAAGCACACCTTTTCCAACTTTTCTGCCAGAAAAAATCCTAAACCCACTCTCAAGCCCCAAACCCACCACGCTCAACCAACCCTAAACAAACCCTAAGCAAGCTCGAAAGCTTCTGGTGATGCCGGGGGTGTTGAACAGGATGCTGGGGGTGTCAAACACGATGCTGGGGATGTTGGCTGTGCTGGAGTTTAACTGGAGCATTTTGTTAGGAACCACGAGAAACACGTCCTTTTAGTGCCCGCCGAACCTAGGAACAAAAAGCGCGCCGAACTTAGAAAAGTAAAACCCCTTCCGCTGGGCAATCCCTCTGAAGTGACGCAGAAGTCATAGTGATGAATTCTTCCTTGCTCACCACGGATCATACACGAATCAACCCTGTTGACCCTTTAGGCCTTTAGAATTTCAGTCCAGGCGAAGGTTCCAACAAGCTCACCCATGGTTCGCCTTCGGTTTTCAGGGCCTTGGCACTTGGGACGCGAGTGGACCTCAAAAAGGGGTCCGATTCCCGAAATGAGATTCCACAAATGAGCGGCTTCTCGTTTCATGATAATCTGCGGAGTATCATGCCATGGCCACATGCCACTGGTTGGAGCGGTGTAAACCGTTGAGTTTGTTTTTTGGCTTAGGAAAGGGAGAACTTTTGTCACATCATATTTGGCACTCTCTTGACAAAGTATGGATCGCTGGAAAGCCTTGTCAATGCCTGGATCAGCTTGGTTCATCAAGCTGTCAATTGTGAAGAGGATGCGATGCACTCGCTTTCACTTTCGCGTTCCTCAAAATAGTGGTCCCCGAAAATAGTTGATGGCCCTTCAACAAATCGCTGTTGCTGTCTTGGTCTGGTGACCTCGCTCAAGATTCGAGAGGTGGCGGCATGATCCATCGGGACAATGGGCACAGCAAGATATTGCACACGTTTGGGATGATCATCTCATTCATAGACCTGAAGTAAGACATGGACCCCAACACCAACACAGCTTTAGAACGGGCGTCTCTCACTTCCGACCATCTTCTTTTTCCCGCATCTGAAGCTTGCAGGTGCACAGGCACCTGAAGGTTTGGAGTTCGACTTTGGGCCCCAAAGATGACCAAGGAATCCTCAACACCGCCGTATACATGGGAAACACCCTACGAAAGCATCATTTTGACCCACAAGTTTATTGAAATGGACTGGAAAGGGCACCCCAAGAAACCGCATTGTTCGGGGCAGGCAAAGTGCCACTTTCCCAGTGGCCAAGCAGATCTTGGTTCAAGTGACAAAGTCATAGGGCGGCAACCCCCAGAAGAACTCCTCAAGCAAGCGGACAGTAGGGGTCTTGGAGACTCCTGGTTTTGGAGTTGGCTTTGGATTTCCTATCAATCCATAAAGAAGATCCCCCCGTTTTCTCTATAACCCCACATGACTTCGACTATATGGACAATGCCCCTCTTCCCGACATTTCGCGCTAAACGAGGGTCTCCCGCATCTTGAGACCAAACAGCCAGAAGGTCCCTTTGAGACAGAGGTGCTGCAACGAAGACGACTACTACGCCTTTCTCCGAGAGATGGCGGGGGCACATGGACTGCGGTGATTGTGAAAGCTGCGCATTTGGGCGTAGCATTTCCAGACGAAAGCTGACTGACGTGGAACCTTGGGGGATGGAAGACTTATTGTTCAAGAGAACACGCCTGTGGGTTAAAGGGGGTCTAAGCCTGCCCCAGTCAGCGGGTTGTTCCTTTTTTAGCTGGTTTCATGAGAGTTAGTACGGCTTCTAGATGAACCTGTACAAACACACTGGCGGCAACACAAGTCAATAGGTTTCGGGCGCCGCTCAATGGGATCATCATTTTGTCCCTTCGGATAGCTTGAAGTCTCTCCAAGAGGTACATTAGACCCCCCAGCTAGCACAGTTTCCCTTTAGTCTCCCTTCACAACTACCCCAAAACACGGGTACCCTTCCGCATCCCTTTGTGTCGGTTTGTTACAAGAGTGTCCTTGACCAAAGGGGCTACCGACGACTTCGTAAGCTTGGGACACCCTTTGCCATTTGGGCAATGGGGTAGGACGGCACACCGTGGGTCCCGATATGTGCCTCAGTTGGCCTAAACATCACCTGCTGGTTGCCAGTTGAACATCAGCTTCTTTGTGGTGGTGATGACATCTGTCCGCTGAATTGTAGATTGAATTGTCAAATGTGGTAGACATAGATGGCGGCAATGGAGAGTTCCAGAATGTTCCAGATCAATGCACAAAGCGCTGACTTCGAGATTACATGCGTGTATGACCACGTTGCCTTCTTGACTGCTTCTTTTTTGCAGTGAGCCCAATGACTACCAAGGTTCTGCTGAGGCCAATGTTGTTTCCCTGTGTTTTGCATGAAGGCAAGAGCTGCTTTTGAGAAGTGCGCACGGGCTTCCCCCAGAAGCCGAACCATCTGCTTTGCGGGTGAGATGCGATTACTCTCTGACAGATACGGCTGAACCGCAGAGCCGAGAGCCAGCGCTTCCTTGCCTTGGACCCAATGGGAACAGAAATTCCTTGGCCTGGGGACATTGTTTGCACTGCTTCTGGTCGTGAAAGTCGAAAGTTGGAGGTTGTTTCAGATTCAACCTATGTCCCTGACGGGTGACATTGACAATGAGAAAGTAATTGGGGGCGCTTGGCCGAATAGCACAGCCTGCGGGTGTCACTTTTGAGGTGGGAAACATGCGATCTCCCAAGTCAACAGCTTGAAAGGTTCAAACCCTGGATTTGTAAAATGGGGAAGGTCAGAGGGAATCAAGCGAGTCTGGATTTTCTTTGACCCATCACTCAGAAATTGAGAAATCCAAGCACAGCGGGAAGCTTTTCGGGCCTCGGTCCTTAAGACCTTGGGATCTTGTGCTCGATGCAGGCGGGATCCTTTGAGGCTAGTTACGATGACGATGAGGACCCAGCGGGCGTGTGGGATTGTGCCTTGGGGTTGGTTCGAACTGAATCTCGGTGGATTCGGTGGCTTGTTCCACAAAAGAAACTGGGGCAATGATTTCCTGGTTCCCGAGCCAATGTGCTGCAAGGCCAATTTGTGGCTGGAAAGAACACTTCACGTGCCCCCTTATGGGCTACATCCTTCCCAGATGGTAGTTCCCCTTTTCAAGGCTCTGGAAGTTGGTGGCATTTAGGCATCGAGCTGCTTTCTGCAACCAAATGAAGATGGCTGTACCCTGGTTCAGGGGTCTTTCTATTCCCTTTTTGGATGGCTTAAACATCACCACAATTGATTGCCAAGTTCATGGAGCTTCATTGGGTGATAATTCCAGGATGCATGTTCATTGCTTAGCGTCTCAGGTTCCAGATCCCGCTTTCACGTTTTGCCGGATGGAATCAGTTTCCGAGCTCAACGCGGGGGTAAAACGCGCTTGAATATATCTTATAAGGCCCTTAGCATGTATACATGATTGTCCTGGCCGCTTGGATGCATGGTTTGACCACTGCGGCCCGTTCCAAGCCATTTCCCAGCGGCCAAGAGTACAGTCCCCTGAGCTTGTCCTACATGCATTGCTGTACAACTGACCTTTCCATTTTCAGGCATCCTTCAGGGAAATAAAGGGACCAGATTGCAATTTCAGGGGCTCCCTTTATTTTCAATCCCTCCCTCAACACGTCTGGTTTCGTTTTGGTTTCCTTTCGACCTTCCAGCAAAGAGATGCCGCAAACAAGTCACATCCAAGCATCCTTCTCAGAAAATGGCTAGCAGCCCATACACAAGATTGAGCTTGCTTGAGCCAATAGTCCAACACCCTTGGACAAGGTTCCTTCATGTTTCCCCCCTGCCTTCAAGAAATGGTCGTTCAATATGTGAATGCATTATCATTTGACATGTACATACACATTTGTTTGGTTACCCCTTACGCCAAGACTTGTTGAACAGAAAGTAGTTTATTATCCTGCAGAACGCACCATTCCCAGCAACTAGTGGGTTATGCGCCAGTTCGCGCTTCGCGCCTCGTGTTTGTCTTCAAGGGTGAATTTGTTCGATGACAGAAGCCAGTTGCACGACATCAAGTATATAGGCCAAGGCCACTGTGACGTCCAGCGTTGCCTACAATGTTATCTGAATCTGAGCTCAAAATAGTGCAACAGTGCCAACAGCTCCAGTGAACGGAAGGCCGATCTTGAGCCATCAACAGCTTATAGCTGTTCGATACTTGCCCTCGAAAAGAAGCGCCATCATTTGCCCCCTCCCAACAAATGCAAAAACAACGCAATGTGCCGCCTTAGTCAAGCTCAGCCCATTGCTCCAGTCGTCAGGTATGCGTTGCCCATTGCTCCAGTCGTCAGGTATGCGTTGCCACTTCAGCCACTCACTTCAGAACTGCGATGCAACGCGTTTCGAACTGTGGGCGGCTTGCCCAAATATTGAGAAGCATTGGTTCATGTGCTTAAGAATTTTGTAGCACGGACGGAGACCGATTGAATCGGCTCAGCCATGCCGTCCTTTCGATCCAAGCTGGACAAGAATGTCGCAAGCCCTGGCACGCTTGCGACAGGAATGGCGGGAGTGACGGGCGTGGCGAGTGAGAAGGACTTACCTTTTGAACTACTTGGGTATTTTGTTGACGAGTCCCTATATGTCCCTTTTGAGCCCGTTCAAACATCACCTTTTCGGCATTTATTTGATACGTTGTCCTTCTTGGTGATGTTTGAGGGGGGGCCCTTTATTGTACGACCTTTAACCTTTCAACAATTGAAAAGACGCTGCGTTCTCAAGCCCAAACTTCAACCTTTTGCAGGGGTCTAAGAGAAAAAAATGGACATGTGTATATGTGTTTGTTGTGTTAAACAAGCATGCTTGGTTGAACGCTTTGGTATGAACCGCGATCCAACAGTGTGCCATGGTTTGGAGGAACACCTGAGATTTTGCTTAGTTGGAGTTGACTTCAAAAGGAACCAGCTGAAAGCCTCGGATGTTTGATCTTTCGTAAGTTGAGTTGAAAGCCTGTGCCAGGCAGGGTTGGACAGAGTTGTGGTAAACGACCACCTGGTCCCCCTTTCAAAGTGTCCAAAAAGCAGTGGTCGGGGCTTGCTCTGCTTCAGGTACCCACTACTGAAGGATGCTAGGGTGCTGGTTTGAACAATCGTGGTTCGAACCATTTAACAAAGTTGAAGCGCAGCCCGCCAGGTCTACTTCCGCTTTGCGCATGAAGGCCAAGCTCTGGAAAAGGTGGAGCCGGGGCCCACGGCAAAGGAACCCCTCCGAGTTCACGTGTATGTTTGTCTGTGTGGTTTTTCTCGCAAAACAATGCTGAATCTGTAGGGGAGGTATTTGGCCACATTAAGTTAGGGGCTTGTTGGCTCCACTGCCCAAGGCCCTTGGGCAGAAGGATTTGCGTGTTGAACCAGGGGGCTTCATGATTTCCTGTGGGGTGAGGATGCGAACCCAGTTGATCAACAAACCCCCAGTTGATTTTTGTATTTCTCGGGTTTTCCCTGTTCAGAGGGAGCAAATTGTCTCATCTTTAGCATTCGCTATTCGTCCTTTTGGTTCGTGATCGCTGTGACCAACATCTCACACTATATAGATTTGCAATTGTGCAGTGGAGGAGAGGATACTCCGTGGCTGTGTCTAAGGATGATGCCGATCTATTTGTGAGTCGAGCGCACCAAGAAGAAAAAACAGGTCTCACGTAGGCAGATGATGTTGGATGTCCTTCCAGACCTCCACTGCCCTGTGGTCCAAATTTGGAGGGGGTTTCATCATGGCCACTCGAGGTGTGGGAATTGTGTTGTTCCATGTGCATGATTGTTTTTCTTACTCAGCGCATTTGTCGTCTTCATCCAGAATTATTTGTAGGTACTCGGAAGGTTGTATGAGTTAGACAGTGAGTTAATGTGGTTGTTGTCAGCCAGCATTACCATGTCAAGAAGCTCTTTGCAATGTCTTTCATTGTGTTGGGTTTGTATGCTTCTCCAGTCAGGACTTTGGCCTGGGTAGCCTGTTCCCGGTTTGTTTTGCAGCATTCGAAGACTCCTTCTGACAAGGTTCCACCATTCAAATGAAGGAGTTTCCTTTTTTGAAGAAAGGGGGTCAATGGTCAAAACATAGACCTCCAATGACAGCGAAAGCGATGGGGAAGCCATGCGTATCACCTAGTCCCTCAAGGCCGCACATAAAACGGGCTTATCCGCAGCCCTGCAGCCCCAAGGCCGGCCCTTGAAACGGGACTCAGGTTCTATGGCAAGGAGATCGCGGTGGGGGATCTGCGGCACACCATTGCCGAGATGAAGAAGCTCCCGAAGGCCGAAGGTTGGAAGATCTGTAGCGGGGTGCGCTTAGGAAGATGGTCTTTCAGGACTCCCCTGTAAGGTTCCATGTTCGTTGTGAGGCTCTGCATGACATTCTCACGTAGGCAGATGACTTAATTCTGTGAGCTGCTTTAGCCAGAATTTCGACGCCAGGGTCACTCGTACTGCAGCCACAGGCTTTGTACTTTGCTGGCCCGAAGCACTAGCCCGTTGATATCCCCGCTTAACAACAAGGGCGAGTTCTTTGTTGGACCTCAGGTGGCCCCCTAAGCGTGGCTGGCGGTACCAGCACAATACGACTGTGTTTTCCCATTTGAACTTTGAGCCGGGGTTGTCCTTTCTGTCACCAGCGCTTGTGCTGCCAGTCGCAAGCTGTTGGGCGCCGAACAACCTGGGAACATCACAACACGCTCTGATGATGATGATGATGATGATGATGATGATGTTGATGATGATGATGCTGAAAGTGTTTCTCTATGAGATTAGTTGAGCTTCTTCATGGCGAGCTCGCCTGGGGGGTAAAACGAGCTCACCATGATGAGGTCCTTCACTTGGGGATTCATTAGTTCAAGTTGTGGATATCTATTTATATATATATATATATATATTGTGAACTTCGCAGATATGTCCGGTTGGGAATTGGAGTAATTTGTCTAGATCTACAATTTGCCATGGTCAAAATACCCGTTCACTTGGGGTTAGGGCTGGTTGTGGACACCGCACCGGGCGTGTGGACCATTGTTAGAAGGCTTCCCTTGAGTAGTAGGAACAATGACCATGACCCGAGTTTCGACCATGGTGCACCGGTTTAAAGGAAACCACTGCGAACGGCACAATTTGGTGTTTTCGCATTTTGCGACTCTAAGCCCGCAATGGGACGAACCATGAGACCATATGTGTTTATTCTTGAGGGTACCCGTGTTTTGGTGGTGTTTAAGGAGCATCAAAAGGAGCACCCGCCATTTTGTGGGTCCCCTAAAACAAGATGCCCACATATCATCGACGCACAAGAGAGGTTTTGCAAAGCATATGTTTCGCACATGCTGGGACGACAGTATGTGCCAAATATGTGTGCCCTGCAGGTGGATTTGCAGATCATGAACGAAACCACGGGCGAAGCGACTTGGATGTCTTTGGTAGGGACATCTACCTAATTTGCGATAAAGAGGCCGGTACTCCGATGGTAATTTCACATCGAACCTGGGAAGCCCCTTGCTTCCTTCGGCCGAGGTGGGCTAGTTTCGGTGGGTGTGACATTTTCCAAACTGGTTGTTCCTAATGAAGTGATAAATGCGAGGGTGTCGCTTTGACGTGACTGAACCAGTTTGTCTCTGGATCAGAGCTGTTTACATGACGTAAACATGTCTGCTTCTTAGTTCGATCTTAAACTGTCTTGGACAAATGCTGGTCTCCCTACTATAACCAGTAAACACTTGGCATTCAATCTGGGCACCTCACGAACGTTCCTTTCTTTGGTGAACCCAGTATTTTGGGTTCGTACCATATCATCATTTGTCCGACTTGATCTGTTTGTGCTTGCCTGCACGTGCCCCTCAGGTCTATGCAAGAGATGGGCACTTGCTGCACCGCAACGTCATCGTCACGGTGAGGCGCACGCCCGTCCAGACGCAGAAGCGCGCGCAGGTGCTGAACTTGGAAGGCGCATTTCGTTTCGGGTCCGGGTGTTTCTCAGGTGAGTTTCCTTTTTTGGTGGGGTGATAAATAAGGAGATACATATTTTAACGCCTCCGGCTCAGGCCGCCGACATTACAGGCCTGCTTTCTTATTTGCGTCCCTTTGGAATTGTTCCCTTGCCCCCCTTCCCCTCTAATATTTTTGCCCCCCTTTCCCTGTTGAGATCATTTGAGATCCATTCCCCCTTTCCCCCCTAAGGCCCTTTCTCCCTCTGAGATTTTTCCCTTTTCCTCCCTAAGATGTTTTCCCCCCTCTCCCTGTTGAGATCCTTTCCCCCCTTTCCCCTCTAACCCCCTTTCCCCCCGAAGGCCTTTTCCCCCCGTGAGATCTTTTCCCTTTCCTCCCTGAGATCTTTCCCCCCCTTTCCCTGTTCAGATCCTTTCCCCCCTTTCCCCCCTAAGGCCTTTCCCCTTGCTGAGATCTTCTCCCTGTTCCTCCCTAAGATCCTTTGCCCCCTTTTTTGTTGAGATCCTTTCCCCCCTTCCCCCTAAGGCCAGATTTTTTATTTTCCTTCCTAAGATTTGTTCCGCCCTTTCCCTGTTGAGATCCTTCCCACCTTTTCCCCCCTAAGGCCTTTCCCCCCTTGAGAGCTTCTCCCTTTTCCTTTCTAAGATCTTTCCCCCCCTTTCTCTGTTGGCCTTTTTTCCCCCAGATCTTCTCCCTTTCCTCCCTAAGATCTTTTCCACCCCTTTCTCCCCTTCCCCCCCCTCCCCAGATCTTCTCCTTGTCCTCCCTAAGATGTTTCCTCCCCTTTCCTTTCCCCCCTTTCCCCCCTAACCTTTCCTCCCCTGAGATCTTCTCCCTTTTCCTCCCTAAGATCTTTTGCCACCTTTCCCTGTTGAGATCCTTTCCCCCCTTTCCCCCCTAAGGTTAAGGCCTTTTTTTCCCCCCTTGATCTTCCCCCTTTTCCTTCCTAAGATCTTTTCCCCCCTTTCCTTGTTGAGATCCTTTCCCCCCCTTTCCCCCCTAAGGCCTTTTCCCCCCAACATCTTCTCCCTTTTCCTCCCTAAGGATGTTTTCCCCCCTTTCCCTGTTGAGATCCTTTCCCCCCCTTTCCCCCCTAAGGCCTTTTTTATCTGAGATCTTCTCCCTTTTCCTCCCTAAGATCCTTTGCCCCCTTTCCCTGTTGAGATCCCTTCCCCCTTTCCCCCCTAAGGCCTTTCCCCCCCTGAGATCTTAAGGCCTTTTCCCCCCCGAGATCTTCTCGCTTTTCGATCCTTTCCCCCCCTGTCCCTCCCAAGGCCTTTTCCCCCCCCTGAGATCATATCCCTTTTCCTCCTTTTTCCTCCCTAAGATGTTTTCCCCCCATTCCCTGTTGAGATCCTTTCCCCCCTTTCCCCCTAAGGCCTTTTCCCCCCTGAGATCTTCTCCCTTTTCCTCCCTAAGAGCTTTTCCAACCTTTCTTTATTGAGATCCTTTCCCCCCTGTCCCCCCTAAGGCCTTTTCCCACCCTGAGTTCTTCTCCCTTTTCCTCCCTAAGATCTTTTCCCCCCTTTCCCGCTTAAGATCCTTTCCCCGGTTTCCCCCCTAAGGCCTTTTCCCCCCAAGATCTCCACCCTTCTCTTCCCAAAGTCTTTTTCCCCCTTTCCCGTTTGAGATCCTGTCCCCCCATTGCCTACTAGGGCCTGTTCCCCCCGAGAAAGATTTCCCTTTTCCTCCCAAAGATCTTTTCCCCCCTTTCCCCCCTAAGGCATTTTTTCCCCAGATCTTCTCCCTTTCCTCCCTGAGATCTTTCCCCCCCTTTCCCTGTTGAGATCCTTCCCCCCCTTTCCCCCCTTCATTTCCAGATGTTCCTTCACCAGCATGAGCAACATCCCCAGCATCACTTGCATCATCCGCATCCTTTGCAGGCGCTGATGCGGATGATGCAGGTGATGCTGGCGATGTGCCGCTGGAGCTGCTGGGGATGCACCCCCCCCCCAGGGCCTACCTTTCCACTTCAAAATGTACAAAACCCTCTTATTTTTAAAGACAGTGTGAGCATATTTACGCAAGAAGTGTGCTGTTGCTGCATATTTGTTTGTGGGTGACAAGTCATGTTGAGTATCAACAGCAAAGAGTTTATAAACTTTCAAGACAGTTTATAAACCATGTCAAGGGTTTGACGGTTTCCCTGCAACAAGGGCAGGGGGGGGTCAGAACTCTTTACGGGGGGGTGGGGGAGGGGGGGGGGGTACTGAGAAGTCTTTACAAAGTTGGCTGAGCCACCTCACTGCTAAGACTTCCAGCCACCCCCCTCCCCCCTCACTGCTAAGACTTCCAGCCACCACTGCTAAGACTGCCACCCCCCCCCCCCCCCTCCCCCCCCCCCCCCCCCCCCCCCTCCCCCCCAAGACTTCCAACCAACCCCCCCCCCCCCCATCCTTCAACGATACCATGAACCTTGACGCGGGAAACTCGTCAAACACTCAATAAGGTTTATAAACTTTCCTGAAAGTTTATAAACCTTCTGTAGGCTTATTGCGCAGCAAGTGGAGACTGTTGTTTGGGAAAAAAAGGACACTCATTTGAGGCCTTGTTTGATGTGGTTTGGGCATGTGGTCCTAAAAGGTTGATGATTGTGTGTGTGTGTCATCACTGCTGCACTGTTATATCAAAGGCTGTCCATTCGGTCCAAGGGAACACAATCTGAGCAACTGCTGCAAAACACTCTGTTTTACAGCATTTTGTTGGATCTCTAATCCCTTCAAATGTCCAATTTGAAACACCTGAAACCTAGAATCTGGAGATCAGAATCCTTGAGATGTCTAATGTTGGATTCTCCAAGCCTCATAATTTGGAGCCTGGAGTACTCCAACACGAATTGAATTGGAATGTTGAAGGGGGCAAAATGTTTTTTGGGAAACGAACAATCTTCGGCCCAAGGGAACACAATCTGGGCAATTTCTTCGAAACACTTTGTTTTACAGTTTTTTGTTGGACCTGCAATCCCTTGAAATGTCCATGGTGAAGCACCTGAAACCTAGAATCTGGAGATCAGAATCCTCGAGATGTCTAATGTTGGATTCTCCAAGCCTCATATTTTGGAGCCTGGAGTACTCCAACACGAATTGAATTGGAATGTTGAAGGGGGCAAAATGTTTTTTGGGAAACGAACAATCTTCGGCCCAAGGGAACACAATCTGGGCAATTTCTTCGAAACACTTTGTTTTACAGTTTTTTGTTGGACCTGCAATCCCTTGAAATGTCCATGGTGAAGCACCTGAAACCTAGAATCTGGAGATCAGAATCCTCGAGATGTCTAATGTTGGATTCTCCAAGCCTCATATTTTGGAGCCTGGAGTCCAACATATCCAAGTACACATTCCTTTCCAAATACGATTTTTGATCCGAATTGAATTTGCATATTGAATAGAATTTAGTAAGCACATAGTTCACCACCATTCATAATTCACCATAATGTCTATATTAGATCAGAATTTGAACAGGAATACCTTTCCAAATAAGGAAAATATCATTGCAGTAGAATCCAAATATACTTTAATGCAGACAGAGTTCAATTAGCTTTTGAACATAATAATTTGATTAAGAATCCATCCCCAAATACAACTTGAATTGGAATATAGCTTATTCTGGAAAGAAATCACTTGGCCTTTGCAAACAAATTTTAATAGTAACTCATTCCCAAATATGATTTAGCTTAAATGTGGCTAAACAAATAAAGGGCACATATCCCCAGACTCCCAAACTTGGTCTGGAGATGTGTTTGGCATGTGCAGGTCTCAGAGCTTTCATTTTCAGGAGATTTTGTGCTTTTGGGTCTGTGCAGGTTGCAGAGCTCAAAGCTGCCAAAAACATCATTTTTTCAATGTTTTTCCCTGGTGTTCTCAAAACCACTGTAAAAACCAGTGATTCAATCAAAGCCAGGCTCGAATCTGAAAACGGAATCCGTTTTCGCTTTGCTGCCTTTCAAGCCTCAAAGAATCAGACATCTGCTGTCATATAGAAGGTAAAAAAAAACAACAAAACACTGTATTTTACAGTGTTTCAGGCATCTGCAAGAAAGAGGCACACAGAGTAGAGTTGACACCTTCAACTAGAAGAGGGCAAAGGTAGGCCCTGGGGGGGGGGTGACCATATATATATATATATACATGCATACATCGGTGGTTTGACTCCCAGAGACCACAAATAACTATCCTGAAGTCTCCCTTTGCCAGGGACCAATTGAGCGACCTCGTAACTTTTGCAGGCTAGGCATGTTGTTAAATCCAGGGTAAACAGTGGAGGTGTTGCCAAAAATATTGTACACTTGTGCTTGTCGCCTTTGAAGGGGATACAAGAAATGATCACCAATTTATTTTGACCACCCGCCTCATTTGGTTTCAGCGTTTTCGCACACGAACGTTGATGTTGTTTGCTACGTACGGTACCTGTTCTGCCTGACCTGAATTGCGTATTGTGAATCGACTTTCTGGCGTATGTTTTCTATATTTTGTGTACATGAGGATGTCCAAACATGGAGAATCAGTTGGATGGGTGTTTAAAGGGAGGCCGGAAGAAGCGCATTTGATTTAGGGGGTGCCTACTTCAAGAAATACACATCATCCGAGCAAGTGGACTTGATAAACAGCAATCAAATGATCCAGGGGCAAGGACATGAAGGGACCTGTTTTCAGAGGTTTGGTGTCCTGTGAAGGTTGCTTTGCCCCCTGAAGCAACACAAAAAAAACACGCTTTCTCTATACCGAAGGCGCTTGCAGCCGACCGGTTTCTGCGCCCCTTGGGTTTGAAGGGCTGGCAGGCGCCGACATCTTCGCGCCCGTGAAGAAGGCCAAGAAGGCGGCCAAAGTCGTGGAGCCAGGGGCCCAGCCGGTGGAGAGCTTGGCTCATGTGGGTCAAAATCAAACCAGGAATTGGACCGCAGGTTTTAGTCAACAACAATATGGGTATAGGTCAAAGTTAAACCACCAGGGGACTGCAGGTGTTAGTCCATGTTTCCATTTATCAGGGTTTCATTCGCCTATTTTTGAAACACAGCCATGTAGGACCAGTGCGATACCTCGGCAACCCCTTCGAAGTGAACGATTCGAAGAAGGGTCTTGGGGATTGCCTACCTTACCGCAGAACATTCGCGAATTTCCGCTGTCATGCCAGGGACCGCTGAAAAAGGAGGTCGCCGGTTTTTTTTTTGGTTACCAGGCTCCCTATGGGGTCTCGCCTATCGGCGATGAAGTTGTGTAGCCATGCTTTAAGATGGTGTTCAATACCTCCAAACCACCGGTGCCCAGGGCCCAGGTGCTCGGGATATGTACCGTTTGTACACCCAAAGTAGTCGCTATATTGCAGAGCCTGATAGTGCCTGTATATCCCTTAAACACCCCCTGAAAAGGGGTGCTTTTTTGGGTGGAAAGGATCATGGAACCAGGACTCCCTAGCCGCGTTCTCCCCTTTTGAGGTGTTTGTCGACATCTCCGCGTTGACCGCGAGACGCCCCGAGGCCAGAGGTCCCGGAGCAGAAGGCGCCGTGCCCGCCGGAGTACCTGTGCTGCTCGGACTCGGATACCCTGAGTGGGGGGTAGCCCGGTAGCCCCAATAAAGACGGCGTTGACTGAATCTCACTTCCCGAATTCCTGAACTTCACACTTTAGGAAAGACCATGTTAGTGGTAAATAAAAGTTGAGATGTGTTTTTTTGCCAGTAATGTACTCATTCCGAGCCATGGTAAAGGCAGTTCATCATGGCTCTCTGTGAACCTTTCCCGATACTGGGGGTCAAACTTCCGGATGTCAGCCGCTGGTGGTTTGGTATCTGGCGAACGCTGTGACGGGCACATGGTTCCCGGCTCAACCGAATTCCGCATGGTCCAAAGGCATCAATTTAAGTTATTTTCTTGGGGTAGGAAAGAGGTGCTTTGTTCATTTTCCCTGGTCTTTTGCGGGGTCTATTTTGCAACTTTGACATTGTTATTTTAATGGAAGCATGAAACATGCCATGTTCGGGGCAAATGCGAAGACTTTTTGTGACACAAATGAAAATCCAGTTGGATTACGGAGGTTGCGACTTCTCAAGAAGGAATTCGAGTGATCTCCTCGGAAATTGGTTGCATGCCCGGATCAAATCGAACAGGGTTTGTCAAACCCCAGGCACTCGTTCTTCCAGCACCCACAGACAGGATATGCACATCTATGCAGCATGATCATGCTAGTTGGTGGGCAGCTAGAAAATGGCCGAGTCCAAATAATCCTGTACAATTTGTCACAGTTTGTCAGGCGTCCCAGGAGAGTAGAGATCGCCATCAAAAACACGTCCAGCCACATTCTTGGACACGCTTCCGTAAGGGTTGGTCATCAATTCCTTTGTTCCAATTGGTTTTCCCCCGGCAAGATGCCCCATCCTGAGTCCCGAGTCCATGGCCTGCCATAAGGGCCTGGATAATTCGAACGGGGTGGGGTACGCGGCGATCATATTTACGCATGACATGATTATGGGAATATGTCGATACTGAGCTAGTCCCTTTTGCGGCTGCTGTGTAGGTATGAACATTTTCAGACTAAAACAACCAAAGAGTTCAAACTTTGGCCAGGCACCTCAGCGAGAGTGCACATTTTTCCCCGAGGTCCTGTGTGCAGGGGCCTCTTCGCAGCTTGGTTGAATTTCAGCTGGGTGAACGGGTAACACCCTGCACACTAGACTACTGGGCAATAGAGATAGACGGCACTGTTGTCAATAGGATTTGGCAAATGCAGTTGAAACAAACAGCCCTTTTAACTGAAATCCCAAAGGAGATCGCTTCAACAATCGTGGCTTAACCATGATTAAACAAAGAGTTTGCCCAACCCTGGTTGTCAAATGACTGGCGACACCGGCGTCATTTTTGTGCTGCCTTGATAGAAGATATCCTGCCACTGCAGTTGGCTTCTGTCACCAGCGTGCCACCTAATTGGGGGGCATCAACAAAGGAGCCTGCTTTGGTGAAAAGCAAGGTGAGGGCAAACGAGAAAGGCATGCGAATCAGGCAACCCTGGGTGATCTGTTCGAAAAGGCACACATGAAACGAAACAAATGGCAACTAGGAATTAGCTGAACCAACCTCTTCAATTTTGAATTCACCCAAAAAGGGAATGTTTGACATGGCCACAAGAGTGCCTAAAGCATAGGGACCCCTGTTTGTACCGCTCATGACCACGTCTATCCAAAAGCCGCAAATTTGGACAAAACACATCTAGGGGCGAATTTAAGCCAAGCAGCCACCTTCGCACTCTGCTTTTGCCCATCCCAATAATAGCAACACTGGTCCAACCCTGAAACAATCCTGATCTCCCTCTAATCCAATAGCGCTGGGGTCCACATCTCCAAACGCTGGCTTAGTGTTGTACATCTGCGCTGGCTGCCAGAAGAAATCTCACATTGACACACACACACACACACAGACGAGCGCACGCACGCAGGCACGCACGCATGCACGCACGCACGCGCAATGTATTGCACTGCAGTGAAGAACATGCGATGGGTTTCGTTTCAGCGGCCAGGAAACCTTCCATAGACCATGATCTCCTGTCAGGGTTGGATCTGAGGTCCTTTGAGGTGGTGTCCACTATCTCCCAAGCACTACCTTGACCCAGGGCTTGAATGGGCTGGACAACTGCTATACAGGCACCTTATAAAGGCTGCATATCCAGTTTGTTCGGTTCTAAGTCAATGTTTGGAGCCATCTTACATCTTGGCCTTTTTGATGAACATGGCTTACGGTTGAACGTTGACCAAGCTTAGTCTTTGATTTCCCTGACTTCCAACCATGTTTTTGGAGAGGCCGAGCACCGAGGAGGATCCTGCAATCGCACGGTGCTGCGGGCGCTCCGCATGCGCAGTGTGCTTCAAGGAGCGCGGGAGCTTTCGTTTGGGCGCTTGTTCGTCTTTTCGGTGCGGCTTTTTCCCTTTTCAGTGTCTGTTTTGGCACTGTGTTGCTCAAGTTGCGTAGTTTCTCGTCTCCGGCAACGCGAGCTTTGGATCCTCCGGTTTCGCCCAGCTTGGCATCCTGGGAGGGAAAGTTGGGCGGGGAACAAGTGTTGACCTGCTCAAAGCTGCCTTTGCAATTTGCCTTTTAAATTTCCTCTGGCCATTCAGAGGTCCATAGGTACCCGAACAAGTAGCCGTCTCCTATCTTGGTTGCATACCAACCAAGTCTACATTTCAGGGATCAAGATGGGTGTGTGTGTGTGTTTTTTGAGGGTACCCTTTGTGGCATGGTTTAAAAGGGAAGCAAAAGGCAAACCACCATTTTGTGGGTCCCCCCTGTTTCGACACCCGACAAGCCAGAAGGCTCTTGACCCTTGGACGCAACCAACGCCTGTTCTCGATTCCAGGCTTGACTTGTCCCAAGTACATGGACCAAGGAAAACCTCTTAATGACATCAGATCCAAAACATGCACTTGCACAAACACCTTGTGATGTGAACAAATCCTCCCGCCTGAAAATGACAGGTTGGCTGTATCACTGCTTGTGGCTCCCCGCTGGCAGTAAAAATGTGGTGGGCAACTCCAGTTATCCAACTGTGACTTGGTCAGAATGCTTCGTGTCTGGCTTCTGGATTACAACCTGTCCAAAAGGCAGTTCTTGGGGAGCGTGCTGGTAATTTGCATGTTTGTTGGGAAACTGGAGAGGTAAAGTACCGAGCCTTGCCAAGGTATTTGACGTAAAAGGTGACATCAAAACAGGGACAAGTGACGGTTAGTAAGGGACAGTCCCAGCCACAAATAGGTGCGGTCACCCTCAGGATTCTTCGCAAGATTGTGGGTCGACCCCTTTGGCACCAGGTTTTGAATGTGACTTCTATGTTTGCGTAGGGGCTGACTAAGTTCAAGCACCATTTGCTGAACTTCTTGTCGGGCAAGGGGGGTTGCTGCAATCCCACGCCTTCCAAAGCGAGCAAAATCTGTAGTATACAACTGGCAGAGGTGAAATTATTGTTTCTTTAGTTAAAGGAATCAAAACAAGTTTGCCAGCTTAGTGTCAACTTTGTATTAATCCGGAAGACCCTACTGTGGAAGGACATACTGCACCAGTTGCATGGGTAAAGCACTACCTGGAGTCTCCATGACCCTTTAAAAATGGTTCCATGACCCCTTTATTTTGGGTAATGACCCCATTTTTAAAGGGTCATGGAGACTCCAGGCATACACAATGGAATAGCCCACCTACCAAGTGGTGTGAAGTGGTGGACATTGGCCTTCTTTGCTCATCGCTCTGACTCCAGGAGCATTCGTCCGGATTCTGCCCGCTTTGCTCCAGGCACAAAGTGGCTGATGGCATGGATCGGTGCTACAAGCTTATGGGTTTGCCCGTCTTATGGCGAGCTCCCAAGGTTACACGAGCTGACCATGAAGTTCCTTTAGTTGGGGATCCAACAATTCTTATTTCAGGTTTTGGTATTGTTGCAGATTGACATTCTGAGTTTCCTTTATGTTCCCTTTTAAGCAGAGCAGGCAAAGTCCTCGTGGCTTTGTTCTCTACAAGCAAAGGCGCTTTATGTCAATGAGCTTTTCAGCGGCATGGCAATAGGCCATATTCATTCGGGAGCAACAAGCTAACCTTTTGCAGGGATCTAATTCTGGCATAGTCTAGCAATTTCTGGCCAAGGGATTTGCGTCCTAAGATAAGGCTTTCCGAACAGTGCCCAGTGTCCTTGTGGCTTCTCTGCAAGACCAGCCAGCAGGGGTCCTTGATGTTTAAAAGACACCCATCACAACTTAATGCAACCTATCCACGTGTGCTAGCTGACTAATAAAGCTAAATTTAGGGTACCCGAGTCTTGATCTTGGGATGGTATGATCTTCTGATGTGCCGGGTGGTTCCATAAACAGGAGTTTGTTCTCAGTAAGGAAGGTCGGAATGTGCCCCGTTTCCAACCAGAAATCTTGGCAGAGAAGAGTCGGCGGAGAGATTCCCACATCGTTCCCCATATGCCCGAGCAGGACGCCCGAGGGAAGGACGCCCGAGCAGTTGTGCTGCGAAATTTATGTTCTCAGTTCCACCCCGCACGAATCCACGCAATGTGAATTGTTAGTTTCGACTTGCCAGTTGCGTCAACAACAGTGTTCAGTGGAAACGAGGGGACGGGGACGCCAACCTCTGTGCAGACACCCCACTGTGCCGACTTGGTGGTTGGAACGGCTTTCCACTTGTACGTTATATAAACAATCAGTTAGCATACCCAACCAATGTCTGCACTAAGCACAGATTGGCGATTTCAATCAGAAAATGGGAGTCCCGCAATTGACCGAATTCGCTGATTCTTGCTCACTTCGCAGGGAAGAGGAGCAGAAGCCGGGCCCCGAGATCTTGCTCGCCTGAGCGCCTGAGGATGGCACGGATGGGTTTGGGCAAGTTACGCCGATCACCAATCAGTTTGTGACCGAAAGCCCATGCCATGATTAAGTGTTTTTGTGTTTTTTTGTTGCGGTTGGCGGATGAATTCTAATAAGCTGCCCGGATGATGACCCCCAGCAAGGCAAGGGCGGGAGCCTTTCGAACTTTGACACTTGTTGATTCTGCCGTGTCCTTTGAACAAGCGTGTAATCCAGGTATGATCGTGTCCCGTGTTTGTGTTGATTCGGGAACGCAGTGAGGAGGTGAATGGCTGACAACTGGAGCTTGTTCCCACTTGTGCTATTCTCAAAACTGGTAGTTACGGGGGCAGGAGCAGAAGTTTTAGTCACATAAGAACTATAGTTTGGAGCACGCTCCTTTTTCCCTTCTCTCTCTCTCTCTCTCTTTTTTCTCTTTCCGTTTTCGAATGATTTCTCTCTGTCTCTCTTGGTCTGCCATTTCCTCTTGCTCCTTCTCTTTTTCTCTTTTTCTGTCTCTGTCTCTCTCTCTTTCTCTTTCTCTCTTTCTCTGCCCCTTCCTCTTCCTCTTTCTCTTTGTCTGTCCCTGTCTGTTTGTCTTGTTCTGTTTCTTTTCAATTTCTCTTCCTTGTCTTTCTCTTTCCCCTTCTCTTTCTCTTTCTCCCTTTCTTTATGTTGTTTTTTTTCTTCTCTCTCTCTCTCTCTCCAGCCCACGAAAGTTAACACGGCAGACAATCACAAGTTGTTTAGGGACCTGAGCGCTCCAAGACCTCCGTCGCGACAGAGGTAGTTTTGTGCACATACCGAAGAGCCGATGTCACGCACAGGGCTACTGTTTCTGCTTATGTCTATTCCCAATTCTCGCAATGTTCAGCGTGCTCATTGCGTTGTTTCTTTTTTTTGCGTGCACACATGTCATCGAATCTGAACTAGCTGCAGTACTTCGGCATACTAAACTTCCTTTGATTCGGGGATGGTCATCGACCCAGCGTTTGATGATTCATAGGTCTGGAGCAAGTCCCAACCTGGTCCAAATCAGCTCAGCTCGCCATTTGTTGGGCCTTGTTATGAAACAAAACCACAATCCATCGGATCTAGGTCGTTCAATTCAAGTTGGGCCCCGACGCCTCCACTCGAAAACCCGCAGACCCCGGCCCTTTCCACGCCCTGGCCGAGGCCTTTGCCCAACCCTCGGCTGGCGGAGATCATCGGGTCCTTGAACTTGGACTACTTCGAGCTGCCGAGCGTCACGGTGGGCTCCTCATGTCGGATCTTTCAGCCAGAAGACCCATGGAATCAGGAGATCTTGCAAATCCCCAAAACAAAGGGTATCTTGAATCACAAGTTTGCAAACCCAGTATCTTAAATCTTGGTGATGGTTTAATCAGCTAGAAGGTCAAGTAGACGGATCTTAAATATTGGATTGATTGGTTGGTTGTTTTTTGTTCGGGACATCGAAAGGACGTTCAATCCATTGAATATTTGGTTGTTGTGTTTGAAGGAGCACAAAAGGAACCCATGTAAAGCTTGGGATAAGATGAATACAATAAACATGGTTTTGATGGTTTCGCAGACTGCTTTTTCTATAGGGGTGCATCATAAGAAGGGACTGCTCGAGTCAGAAGCGGCTTAAACATGAGATTGTCGCCCCCACACTTGTTTTTTTTGGATACCAACTCCTTTTTACTCTTTCCGGGCCCATTGCGAGAAAGTGGGGCCAAGACCAAAAGTCTCGATGTCAGAGTCGGCGAAATGACCTGGCCCTTCTTCCGAGTTGGAAAGGAGACCACAAGGAAACCAAACTGTTTGCTTTCGAGATTGGCACAGCATGCATGGAACAAATACCAATCTTCCAAGGGTAACTCCGACCATTCTTAGATATAACAATTTGTTTTCAATTAAACCGCCTCAGAACCACAAAAATCGTCTGGTGTTTGAAAAGAACAATGGTTGAACAGAATGAAAAGAGAACCACCCCTAGAACAACCATGGAAGTTGAGCGGCGAGTTAAATAGGCTGGAAGTCTTCCAGAATCCTTCTATGCACTTCCCTGATCAAAAAGGGTATTCATTTAGGGTGTGATTCCTTTTCAATCTGAATCAACCATCGATCTGCTTAAACTTTTGGCCTTTGCCTCTAGCCCCTCCCTCAATTCGGCCCCTGCCAAGTGTTTCTTTCCCCACAAGGAAGCCCGGAAAGGATTGATAGTTACTTTGTTGGGTTTGTTATTTTTTCCAAACCTCTTTTTTTTCATCACCAGTTGAAGTGTTGCTTCGGGCACATCCAACCCCGATCGGCGGCCACTCAACGGTTCCGTTCAGCTTGCGGCAGCGAAACAACCCCAAATGGTTGCACATTGTCAGGAAACTCTTAATTCGTGGTGTAGATTGGTATATTGGCGGTTTGAACTTTCCAGTTTCTTCTGAAGCTAGAAGGTATCTCCACTCCCTACTGAAGCCTTCAAGCCACCTAACCAAACCACCAAACCACCCACTAGGGGGAAGGTGAAATTGGCGAAGTATGATATTAGCTTGCTACTGCGCTCAGGTTGCAAGACAAGCTGCTGCAAGAGGCCAGACGTGCGTCCATGTATTGACTTGACCGGGCAGAATGGCAGCGACATGTTTGCGGTGTTGTTACCAAAAGGGATTGTAGCATTTGCCTCTTTCAGATTATCCAAGTGGTGAGGAAGATGGGAGTTGGCAGGTATGCAATAACATGGCCCCTTTTGACTTCGACAACCAGGAAGATGTGTCCTTTTTGCTTGTTTACTTAGAACATGGAGAAATCGGATAACAGTGCCTTAGACTTGCAAGGCGGCAGCTCTTCAGATGATGAAGTCCCTTGCCAGCCATTTGCATGATTTCCAGTTTGCGAATTGTGGTAACTGCTTTGCAGCATGCACAGATCATCAAATGGTCATGGTTCTTTGCCATTGTTTTCCTCGGGACCATGCGTACCTCACTTGTTCCGAAAGTCTAAAGTCTGCTAGGCGGCCATTAATGGTGGTGAAGCATAGTGGTGAAGTATAGCCACAACAGCCTCTCCAAGCTTGCCTCTATTGCCTGAGGTTAGGGAGCTATGTAGTAACACAAACCGAAACTTCGACTGGGCTGTTCAAAGGCAAGCCTTTTCAGATGCTTCGGGTCCTGCCCAGCGGTTTGCTCCAATTACGGAGGGTTGGCAAAACAGTCCAGTCAGATCTCAACCCAGTTGCCGAGCAGCCCTGTCCGGTTTCCCTAAATCAGCCAACACGAAGTGGGTCCTTCAATAAGATCCCGCGGCCACTAGGCAGTATTTTCTAGCTGTGAGATGGTATGCGCCCAACCAGGCTGGCTCGTAGAGCAGGTGAAGATAGCCAACTACCGAACTCCTAAACCACCGAATCAGCTCTCTCACTAGCTAGCGAACTAGCCAGATCAGTAATGCCAAGCATGCTTGCCTGGAGTGACCTTGCTCTGGAGTGGCCTCGTCAGGCGCTGACCTTTCTGCAAAGAAAGCGGCTGCCAAGGCGTTTGCTGTTTGCTTCGCGAGTCCCATGTGCTCAATACGGAAGTTTGATCGCTCTACGTAGTTGACTCACGTTGGTGTGCTTTTGGCATTTGGCCCAACGGTCCAGGAAATCGTTTGGATATGTTTATCTCGTTTGTTGCTCCCCTGCGCTGCTCGGTGGTGCTGGTCCGCCATTGGCATATATTTCCGCCATGAGGGCCCCAAATTCGGGCCGCCCAGATGGTGATTGAAGCGCAAGACTTTGACAGCTAGCCATAGGGGCCGGGACATCTCCACCGACAGTCAGCAAAAGTGACCATGGCTTTGACGGCAGTCACCGGCAAACTCTGGGTTGAGGCTTGCCCGGTCCATAAAGTGTCACTTCCAGCGAGTTCCGACGAGATAGATCTCGAAGCTGAAGTTTGGGAGCTTGGCCACGCCTGGAGGCTCCACCAGACATGTGGGCAAACGGTCTCCTTTAGGTTTTCCTCTGCCACAAGGTACCCTTTTTTTTTCCGGAGTGCCGACGTGTGCAGAGATGTCTGAGAGCAACCTCCAGTCGTAGCGGCCGTAGGATGAGTTTCTCTGTCGAGTTGCCCAGCAGCCCAGCGGCTCATTTGTGTTGTTCTTTTCCAGAGCCAGGTTTCCCGTATGATTCTGATGGTCATGGTCATGGTCGTGGTCGTGGTGGTGGTGGTGGTGGTGGTGGTGGTGGTGGTGGTGGTGGTGGTGGTGGTGGTGGTGGTGCCGGTGGTGGTGCCGGTGGTGGTGCCGGTGGTGGTCATGAGTCATTATAATAATGCTGATGCTGCTGCTGCTGATGATGATGATGGTGATGATGATGACGACCACATGTTTTTCTTTCAGAGTACCCCGCATCCCCCGTCTTATTGTTGGCCCTTCCACCCTGAAGGCCCCGGTGGCTGCGGCAACCCCCTCTCCGCCACAGGCGCAGGCGGGAAGGGAGTCAAGGGAAGGGGTTTGAGCTTGTGCCAAAGCCCAATCGTGCCGGCAGCATCCTACAGCCCTTTTGTTTGGACCAAATTAGGGTCACCCAAATAACGTCGAACCAGGCAGAGTCATATATGGGACAGTTTCTGCCAAAAAGTGAAGAATCTTCTCCAAAATTAGCGAAACACAAGACCACCAGGGGCTTATCATCTTGATTCCACAGAAATGAGCAAATGAGTGGATCACTATTCTAGCTCAAATCAACGTGCAAGAAGCAAATGGAAGGTTTCCCAGCGATTTGGCGACTAGCGCACAAATTGATGGCCCAGCCAGAGATGGTACTTAGAGCTTTCTTCCTATTGTTTTTGCATCTTTTGCGAGGTCTTTCGTAGTGATTTAATCCAAATCCAACACCCGTGTATTTCTCAGCCACGGTATGATTTTCCTCCTGATTCACGGCAGGTGCTGTTGATTCTTTTGCGGATTTCTTTGCTCCAAGGCTTTGGTTGCTTGGACGTTCGGTCAAGTTAATTAATCTTTGGCCTGGGCTATAATCCACGAAGAATAGGCTACAGGATTGACTACTGAATGGGGCACGCACAAGAGGGTCAGAACCTTTTAACCTAGACAACTGGCAACTTGGCAACGAAGACCCAAGCAATCACTTTTCTACAACTCGCGACAACTCTCCTCGGGAAGGTAAAGGATCAACCAAGCGGAATTTATTCTGAGCCATTAGCAACGAAGGTGTCCCAGGGCCCAAGTATGACCCGATTGCTTCAGGCCGTGCCCGTGGCATCCGTTCCGATGTCACAGGCGGGGGAGTCGCCTTTGTGCCTGGTAGAATCCGAATCGACGAAGGTCCTGTTCCCGCAATGAACTGTCGTGCAGGGTTGTCAACATTAGGTTGTGATTGTTTTGGGGGACCTGCCAAAAGCCAAGGTGTGATTTTTCACTCCTATCAAGAACGGGCGATTTGCAGAATATTTGAATGTTACCCGGCCGCTGTGAGCCCAAAACGAGTTGGGTTTGACATGGTGCACTCAAAATAGTGTACGGAGGGGAGGAGGGCACGCGTGCTGTTTTCCCCTTGAACCTCGTGCTGTGGTGGCTAATCTGCCAATGACAAAATTCGCCGGAGCAGAGGGCTAGACCATGTGAAGCAGCACGGTGCCACCCACCCACCGCTCAGTCAAACACGTCAACATTTTACCCCACCCCACCCCGAACCCGAAAGCCAACAACTTCTCAACGCTGCACTCGGTCAAAGTGGACGTTATCAGTTCCCCCTGCCCCCACCCACCCACCCCGCCCCAACCCGCCCCATCCCCAAGGTCAACAATTGGGCAGATGCTGCACACGGTGAACGAAAGTCTCGACATTTCCCCGCCAAGCAAATATCAATGCTGCATGCAGTCAGAGTGGACGCACACATTCCCCACTATATGAATACCTCAAAGATGTGCCCCTGAATCTACTCAGCTGCAAGAATATGGGGCAAGTTGGTTGCAAATTACTTGTGTCAACAAAAATCACAAGGGCAGCAAACGTGGGATAACCTGATGTATTGGCTATGCATATCCATATATACAAAAAAAAACAATATCCTACATCAGGCTCAAGCCGTGAATGCCAGCAGGAGTTCAATTTGTGCGTGTTGAAGCAGCACAACACAAGAAACATCCCCCACCCACCGCCGACCTAAAAAAACATGATCCTGACTATACCAAAAAGAAACAACAAAAGCGTCGGGTTGCCACGCGAAAACAGCAAGTTCCCAAAGCCGACATGGTGCCCCTGATCCACCAAACATGTCTTACTCCTGGAGACACGGCTGAGTGGTTCCGATACAAATCATAGCCATAGCAAGGGGATCCGTGTCTTCCTGAATGACTGGTGCCCGTTTCGCTTTGCGACCATTGGTGTGTCTTTGGCTGAGGGTACCCCTATTTTGGTGGTTTTACAGGGACACCAAAAGGAAAGCCGAAGCCATTTTTGGGGGGGCTTCCCCCTGCAAAAAGCACTGCCCATGGATTGCATCTCGTTTCGTCAGGCGGGTCCTTTCGATGCAGTGAGCCCTTCCCCTGCGCAGGCGCGAAACCCGGTTCCCGCCAAAATCAAACGACCTTTTAGAGGGCGCTATTTTTCCCCCCAAAAGCCAGTGAGCTTCTGAGGTAGGAAATTCCTTCCACGTCAAGCCGGGATTTATGAACCTGCAGGTAGACTTATAGGGTGTTGCCCCCCAACCAAAAATCACGCCCCCTGACCAGAATAGGCGGGTTTATTAAGCTTGCGCTGTCACCATGCCAGTATCAACGGAGCCCTTTTTTGTTGGTGATCCCCTAAGGAATGCAAGCAGGCAAGCAGGAAATCGGCGAAATCGTGAAATGTTCCATCGATTTTGGACACTTGGGTTTCGGTTGCCACTTTTGGTGATACCAGGGGAATCCCCTTTCAAGTAACAAGCTAGGGACGAACCCGGATGGGAATCAACAACTTTGGTATTAAAGAAGTGGTGACAACCATGTCCATGTTGAACATGCCAGGTTGCTTGTAAGGGGCGCACGCCAAAAACTCTTCCTTCACGCATTGAAACCAAGGCATGAATGGTGGCGGACTCTGGGGGGTCCTTTTGGGGCTGGTCATAGGTTTCCTGGCCCATGGCTATGACCCCTAGACGTTTGATGAATATGTTGTGTGGACATGGCAAATTACCTTGCGGTTCCCATCCAAAGCTTCAGACTTTGGTGCTTGGAGTTTAAGGGGACTACCACAACACATGTGAGTTTCAGCAAGGGTAACTGAACCACTGACTAGAGATTTCCGAAACGCTCGAAGATGATGGTCTTTGCGTTTGCGCTGTGGGACCCATCATGTGCATCCCAATTTCAAGAATCTATGAGTTGGGGTGGGTTATTCCCATCGATTTTGCTGGTAGGCCCCTATCGGTTTTTGGTGCGAATCTTGTCGTGGCTCAGCTGGAGCCTTGGGGTTTTGTTTAGCCCCTCGACTTTTGGAACCTGATGTTGGAGTGACCCACTCAGGGGATTGGACAGCAAAAGTCAAGGAATTATCCTCCCATAAAACAAAACAAACAACAACACAAACACCAAGTTGTGTCTCAATGTGAAAGACCTCAAGCATTGCAAGCACCAAATCAAGCAACAGCTATTATGGCCTCCAGGTGGAAGTATTTCAGCTTGTTCGGCACTCAAAACAAAGTGCAGGCGCTTGGATTGATTTGGAGCCCTATGGGGCACGGTAGATGCCACTCGGGCAGCTCGTGTCTGTTTGGGTTACCACTCTGGGCAAATGAAATTGCAGCCTCACAAAGTGGCGTTTGCGACCTCACCTACTTTGATAGGGAACCCTTGCTTTGTGGTTGGTGAACCATTTTACCTAGTTTACCCAGCTCACTGGAATTCTGATGTCCGGAGGCTGGTGTCACCTATGTGCGTGCTCCTCAGGTCTGCTCCGGACTGGTAATATTCAGGTGCGGCTCTGTCATTTTATTGATGGTTCCCTTGGTGTGGTTGCAAGAGAACCCAAATGAACCAACGATTCGGAGTTTCATATTCAAAGACCAACCCATGTTGGCCTGCTTGATCTGTTTTTCAGTCGAAGGTTGTGGGGCTATCTAGAGGCCCAGACAAAACCAGACATCATTATGCACCAAGCCGGTTTTGACCCTTTGGAACCGGCGTTTCTGCTTTCGGACCCCATGCTGAAGGCTCCTTCAACAGAGGTGTCATGTTTGGTCCGTCAATCATTCAAAGAGCCCCCCAAGGTGCCATCTAGGGAAGGGACTCACCTCAAATCACCAAAAGTCACCCCAAACAGGCGCGCTTTCCCAGTCCAAAAGCGTCCAACTAAAATGCAGAGCTTTGCTCCAGATCTCTCGGCTGCAATTTTCCCAGAGGAAGGATGGTTTCTGAGTCCACTTGATCAGAGTACAAGCACTTGGCCTTGGGAAACCCATTCATTTTCGGCATCGAGACGATCTTCTCCGGGAAGAGACCCACCCTTTGGTGTTTCGTTCCGAGGCCGTGCATGCTGTCCCCAGAGCAATTTCATGCCTGGCAGCAGCAGCCATAGATGGGCCGTCTTGGGGTGCAGGAGTCGAAGTTGGACGCTTGGAGAAACAGGGTCTCTTCAAGGATAGGCAATAAACCAATGGGTGTGTTGTTTGTTTGGACTACCCCTTTGTAGTTGGTCCGAGAGGGACACCGATTTTTGGGGGTCCACCATGTTGAGACAAGCCCAAATCACTTGTCCCAGTTGATTTGGAGGATTCTCTTGTAGAGCAACTGGTTTTCAGACGCATCATTTAAGGATCCCTGAGAAAGTCGGACCCCCTGATGTGAACCTACTAGCTCACCATAAGCCATCAGCAACATTTTTGCTAGGTGCAAGATACATTCTGGGATTGCCGAAGCAGCATTGGCGCCGTTTGGGAAACCCGAAAGTGTGGGGGTTGCCTAAAAGGTTCACCATACGATCGATCCGTCTCCTTGTAAAACGTGGCTTTGCAATTTGGCTTTGCGTGAAAATGCAGCAAAGTCATTTCCTTCAAATGGCATGGGTGCCATGCTAGTTCCCTTTTCAATCATCCCCTCCCCGCAAGTTTGAATTAAAGGGCACAACTAGTTTTGACACACGCACGCGCGCGCGCAGCCATTGCCGTTGATAATTTGTCTCCTCAAGCCTCATCTCAGATGCATTTGGCGCATCAGCCGAGTATAGAGGGCCTGCATTGCAAAGGGGGAACATTGCCTGTCCCCCTCCCAGCCTGGTGCCCTTCCAGTTTGATCTGGGATTTTTGCCACTGCGCAATGGAGCCGTCCATTGATTGTTCAAAGCTTCGCTTGCTGCTCACTGTGCCCAGGTCGCTTCTGAGCAAGAAAAAGCGGTAACAGACCGCCTTTGTTTCTAGCGGACCCACCAACTCAATGGTGTTGCATCTTGGTTTTGAGACATATACCCTACCTCACTCTCCCAAAGCCATCCTTGGGACCTTTTGGTTTTCTGGGTTTCATCTATTGTTTGGGCAAGGTTCCTCAAGGTGAATCCGGTTCAGTTCCAGGTCCTTTTGGGGTAAGATACGCAAGCGGTCCGGTGGCGTCACGCCTCATTTCAGAGCCGGCCGGGAGCCCGATCCACAATGTCTGGAAAGACCCGGGCGAAGCGGGGAGAAAGCTGCGTGCAAGCTGCTCGTCTCGGGCAAGACCGAATTCCCCAAATTTTGGGGCGACATTGAAGGCAGGAAAAGGTGTTCACTCCTATTTCTCAGGGTCTTGGCTTGGCGAGAAGAGGGCCATATGAGCCTGGAGCTGGGTTTTCGGGTACTGTGAAGCCACACTGAGTGAAATCATCTTCCCCCAGTTCTTAACCGGGAGCATGGATCCTTTCAGCTATCAAATTGGCTATACAGATTCCAAAAACCATGACCATGAGGGCGCATGTGTGTTTGGTTACTTGTCTGGTGGCCAACCCAACAGAATCCAAGGCTCCACAACAGAAGCCAGCTAGATGTTGTCCAGCCCCCCATGCGTTGTGCATGCGTTACTTGGTGGTTACTCATGATGGATGCTAAACAGCCTGACTTTTTTAAAACGTTCTTCCCGAGGAACGTGAACTTCCACGTCTGAGCCCAAAGCCCTCAAAAAGGTTCCCGACCCCTTGCCGGTTACCAAACAAATCAGGTCGCAGTCTACGTAACCTGTCCGCGGTCCTTCCAGCCTTTGTTTTCAGTGTGTGATCTAACATTGGCTAGTCGCAAGACAAACTAACAAATTTCTGACGAGGCAAGTCGAACAGGAGTTTTTCAGTGGCACCGCCCCTTTCCCTTTTTGTTGTGTGGCTTCCCCCTAGTCAGTGTCAACTCCAATGAGGGTTCTATCAGGGTCACTTATACTTTCAGACCATCTAAACACGGAGGTCGAATGACGACCTTACAGCTTCAGATTTCCCAACAGCCTTCTTTCAGCGACCCCACAAGGTTACATGCTGGAAGTAGATAGCACCATTGCCTTTATGTTGTTATGTGAGGGATGATCAAAGCAAGATTGGTTGAACTGTGCCATCTTTTGCCCCATGCTGTAATATATCATGTTTCGGGTGCTTAGTTGCACGTAGCCTGTAGCGCTTTGCGTTTTTGTTTGCTATTGTCGAATGGTTGCTGCTGGATTCATGTGCCGAGGGCAAAAACAACGAGCCGGCAGGGGTTAGCGGTGGCAGTGCTGTCCTGTTGCCTGGGGCATGGGCCATGACGGGCAATCGAACAACCAAGACAAACAAGTAGCACCCTTCAAGGAAGGTGAGAATCTCTCCGGGTGGAGGGGCCTTTGAATGGAGGTGTTCACTCCAAAAGTGAAGGACCGAATGAGCACTACTGGGTTGACTCTTCCTGCGTTGCTATTGCGGTTTCATCCCTCACTGCTCTGCAGCTTGTCAGGAGGGTGACGGCAGCGAGATTGAGGTCGAGGCTGAGGCGGCACAGGGCACGATGGTCCATTTGGGAGGGGCATGGGAGGCTCACCAAATTTCCCCACAACTAGGGGACTCACTAAGTGTCCCATGTCCCTTGAGGGGAACAATTTGTTTTGACCGTGACTCATCTATCCGTCAAAGGGCAACACCATTTTTAGGCTGGTCCTTTCGGTGTCCCTTTAAAACCAGCCCCCAAAAAAGGATACCCCCAACAAAGGCACACGCCCATGCTGATGATTCTCAGAGCCGGGGGGATGGCACCTAACCGTTCGATCGGGAAATCTCCAAGGCGCTTGCGAGTCTGCAGTTCCCTCTGCAAGGGATGTGCTTTCGGGTAGCTTCCATTTGCTTGACAATATGTTTTATTTTCCCCTGTTGGTTTTAAAGGGAATCTATCACTACTGGATATATTTTGATTTTTTCCAGGGGTCTTAGCCGAATGGAAGGTAGCAGCATTCCCCCAAATCTGGTGATTCACTACAGTAGTTGTTGTGATAGGTTTAGCCCGGAGCGTGCAAGCTCGTACAGAGCGCCGCAAACCGTGCAACGCTTGTTTTGATATTTCGCCTAAAGGCCGTGTTGATAATTATTCATCCTTCTTCCATTCGGTGTGTCCACTGCCAGGTCACCAAGCTGATCAAGTTTCAAACAATCATGTCATATGGGTGTTTTTCAAAAAAAAACATCCCCCCAAATAACAAAAGAACAGAAGTAGAACAACAACTGTTTGTGTGGTTGATTGTCAAACTTGCAAAAAGGATATGAATCAATTGTTTATATCATGCTCCGCGTTCTGTCAAATTCTTGGTCAAGTCAAGGATGCGACATGGCATGAGGAGAACTTTGTGGAAGCTTAGCCAGGGCTAAACGATTATTAGCATAGTTCCCCGATCATCATGACGAACCATGGTTGAATTGTATACCGCATGACCGCGTGTTGATTTTGAGAACCTTATTCGGATAAAGCTATCAAGCTGGCTGCTTCCGTCGCCCCAGCCGTGACCCGGACCCTCCTTTGGTGTCCATCTATGGCTTGCCCCCAGGAAGAGCAGTCTGGCAGCCGGAAGCGCTCGCGCGGGCACCAAGCTTGTGGCATGGTCTCCTCTCTTGGCCATGGCGAGGTTTCTGCCAAAACAGATATTTTGTTGTCAAGACGGATCTTACAATTCACTTCGAGATTACTATGAGATTAACATGTGGCAAGTATCTATCATCAATTTGTTCATGTAGTGTGTATATAAATATATATTGATACATAATATCATGTATTGTACTATATATATAGAGAGAGAGACTAGAGAAACAGGCGAGAGGTATGCACATGTGTAAGGGCTGTTTGTCACCCAACCAACGCAATTGCACAGAACAACTTTTTCAGGCCTTTTTCCGAGTGTTCCAACAGATGCTTCAGGGCTATTTCAATCTGCTTTCAAAGGGTGGCCTTGCAGCTTCATTCCGTGCATGCGTGCAGGTAGTAAAGAGACCGGGCTATTAGAACGCATGGCCAACCTTTTAAGTCGGGTGACACTGCAGTAACGTGTGTAGAAATGGTTTTAACATTAGGATGCTGACCGAATGCTCCCACGCCCGAAGGAGTTGCTTGACGCTACAGTTATTTAGAGACCACATCTTTGTGCCACCACTGTCCCATGAAACCTCAAGAGTCAGCGCCAGACCCAGCATACCAAAGACATTTGAAGTGCTTTTTGGGTGTTGCTTCATGTTCCCTTTCAACCCGTGTGGATCCATCTAGCCGCTTTTCCGGGGGACACTCAAATTGTTGGCTTTCCCCGTGTTTCTTTTTAAGACCACCAACAACAAGGGCACCCCCGAACAAAAGACCCATGCGGGGTTCGGAGCTGTTCGTCCAGGTCAAGCTTCTGGCTGGACCCCAGGCAACGGGTCGATTTAATGGTTTGGGCGGCTCGGCTTTTGGGCGGGCAACACCTCGAAGCTCGACCGCCCTCTTTGGACAGAATGGAAGGCTCTAATGAAAACAACTTGCTCAATTCAAAACGGCTCCAACAGAAGACTCCGACAAAACAAGTGCTTTAACATTATTGCGAAAAAGGGTTGCATGTTCAAAGAAACCAACGTTCCTTTTTAAGGTAGCAACCCCAACTCGTTTCCACCAAAGTTGCAAAACCTGAAACGAAGGATCATCAACCATGGCGATGTTGCTAGTCTAGTTTTGAAAACACCCTGCAACATGTTGCACTGCCTTGCTCAAAAAGTAAAGGGTCAACAAAAAAGGCAACCAAGAGTCCACACGATAAGTTTTGTCAAGTGAAAGCATGACTCTGGGTTTGCAGTGTGTCCTCCCCAAACAATTGGATATTTTGAAGCTGACGGCAGGCGGGAAACGCGTTGCCTGTGCGTTTTGGTTCCTTTGGCTGAGGTCATGGGGGAGGATCTCAAATCAGAAGCTGTTGCTTACGAAAAGGAATCCCAGTTCCAGGGATCAATCAACAGGTTTGAGGGGCTTTCCAAGACTGGTCCCAGTGGTTTTTCAGCTTTTGAAGGCTAAGAAAGTCTATGGGTTTCGAGGATCTGTAGCGACAAGGGAATGCCGGACGGGACCAGTACTTCATGCATGAGAGAGTCACTGCTTTGTAGGGAAGCCAACCCGCATTAGCGGTGTATGAATTAAAACGGGTTGCTACATCAATGGTTTCCATGCTTCCCCTTAAAGGATACTCAGCAGACAGCTCCTGCAACAGCACGCCAGCACGCTCCAAGCCAGGCTTCTGGCCACCATGGTACCTCAACCAAGCATATCATGTTGGCATGCTTGCTCCCAACTAGAATGGACGTGAGGTCCCCTCTGCATTGCAGCAAAGAACTTGAACATGCAGGTAGAACCAAAAGTCAGAGGGTTTGCGCTGTTCATGCAAGTCCCACTTGTTCGATAGCACCATTCTGTTGTTTTTTTGTTCCCTTCTCACCGCGACCAGCAGAAAGGGACAGTCCCTTTGTCCGCTGGCTGATGCCGACCAGATGTTGCTCGGGTTGCAAAGGCAACCGAATGCCTTTTGTGTGTTGTCCATACTATTTGGAGTGGTAACACTCCGCTGCATTGCTTGGTGGAGCCCTTATGGACGGGTCCAAAAGCGTGCAGCCAAGAGATACAGCTGAGAAAAGCGAGACCAGCGCACTGGGAAAGCCGGTAGCTCACTCCGTGCCAGGCCCATTTCTTCCCTGGCTTCGGCCGGCGGGCTCGGCGCCCAGAAATCGGGCTGTTGACTGACCTTGGCCGGGAAATGGAGAGACCCTCTAAGAAATGGTTCAATGTCGAAGCTAGCGGGGTTTCCCTTTTGGCGTTTGACTCGTTTTGGCCGCCGACCCCTTAAAGGACCCAAAAACAAAAAAAGGCAGAAGTCCGCTTTTGGGGAATTCATGTTTTGTGCTGCTGAACGGTTCCCGGCTTGGATGTGCCATGGGCAGCCCCACCCCTTGAAACCTGGCATTCATGAGTTGGAGATTTCGTCGCTTGAAGTTCCATAGCCCAAGCTTCCTTGGCGGGTAGACTTCCGGACCTGGGGCACCTCACCCTTGAGGCTCCAGTAATACTCAGTAGCAAAGACCGCGGAGGCCACGCTTTGAAGCCAAACAACCTGGTTGTCAAGGGATGGATCCTCAACGGTTCCCATGGAGGTAGCCACGACCTTGATCCACAGAAAGGAGTTTCACCATGGCACAAGCCGGCCCCCTCCCTTTTGTTGTTTGTTCTCACGAGCGAGGGCACGGCTAGCCATAAATAGGTGCGAATATCCGCGCTTTTGATTTGTTACCATGGGTTTTTAGCAGACCGCTCTAGTACCAGGTATTGTTCCGTGTCAATTGTACATCGCGGTTCTGGCTGCCAAAAGTTGGCTCTGCGCAAACTCATAAATCCGCCTTTATGGTGAGCGGAACTGGGGATAAAACGACCTCAGCATTGATTTTTGAGAACCCTTATTTCAGGCTTTGACGTGTGGATTTGTTCGATAAAGTCAGCCTTCCAAAAGGGTTGCTTGCGCTTGACTTTTCCATGCCATCCAGAAAGGGGCCAGTGCGAACCCGCGCTGGGATCTCAGAAAACCTCAAACATGTTCATTCTCCCAAGGAGACCTCAATAACACTCTTGTGGGAACCCCCAACACCCTATCCCCCAGCCCGTCGTGGACCAAGGACTGTGTGTGTGTGTGTTTGGTTGTTTGGTGTGGTGTGGTTGGGGCTAGGTGAAATTCTATTCTAGAGGGGATGGAGCTGTTGGACAGCGCTGTACGCTGGGGCCGAGGGATTTTTTGTCGCTCCACTCGCAGGTTGCAAACCCGCGCTCATGTGGATGGAAAGCAGGCTGGTATGTGTGTGTGTGTGTGTTGGATACCCACGGTGGTGGGGGTGGGCTGTCGCGGGGTGTGTGGATTTTTTTCGAGCCACAATCAAAACCCGGGTAGATGATGGCTAGTAAAAAGACGATTGGGAGAGCCTGTGCACACACCAATCTACTCCGGTGCTCAAGCACGTGGGGTTAATAGGCTATATGCCCTTGTTCGATCATGGAAGAAATACGCCTGGCACTGGCACCCCAAAGAGTCTCCATGGATGCAATCACCCTGCAGGAAGCGTGGTTCCTTGCAAACCAACGAGGATTCCTCTGAATTCCTTGCACAAACTTGGCTGGAGAATCCTTCAAGTTCACTTTCATTGGCGTTTTGCGTGACAGAGACGCCATGAAATGGTCTTCCATGGGTAGTCATGCTAAGAACCTCTGACGAACCCACCCTGCTCCACCTCCCGCCACGTAGCAGGAGAGTCTCCCCATATGTTTTTTCCCTTGGACCTCTGAAATCTAAACTGATGACAGCTTTGACAGAAATGCAACGCAAGGGTAGAACCCTGTCCAGCATGGTCAAGAGAATCAACTAACATAACTATCCCACTAGATGTCACGAATGATGACTTATAATTATTGTAATGTTAAACCTTGCAGCTCAATTGACAAATGGCGACTCCAGTTGACCAGACCAGTCCGTTGTGATGTTTTGGAGCTTGTGGTCCTCCCGTTTCCTTTTCACCCCTCAGTATTTGCATGAGGCTGGGTGCCCGGCATTGTGCGAGCCCCCAAATCAAGTAAGAACAGGGGAGGTTGTCAAAGTGTCAAGGATATACAATGCTCGGGCCACGTAAATATGTTCTATCAGTGGATCTCGAGGAACCCCTTGTAAATCAAACGGATGTTTGTTGCATCCTTCAAAGGAGCTCTGTTGGTTCCTTTGCACCTTCTCATGACTTTTCCAGGCTGTGCTTGGCTCCTTTGAACGATTGCGCCAGGAAAGCTCTGCTGCGAAGGCCTTACGCGGGGCTTTGGCTTCTCGTATTGAACCTTGCTTACAGGGCCCAGGTTGTCCAGTATCCTCAAGCCCCTTCTAATACTGTGGATGGACAAATTCCTGCACCAGTTGGGATGGATGACGAACCACCTACCAACTGGTCTGATGTGGATTTTGTGAATGAAGGGGCACAGGGACATTCAATCGGCCTTTCTTTTTGAACAACCCTCAATTGAAGCCCAATTGAAGTCTATCGTTGTTGCCTGCTTTTTGGCCTGGTTTCTTTCCGTCTCCTTTTTTCAGACACGAGTCATTTTGTTCAAATCGAAGCAACAACAGGGGTGTCCATGTTTTGTCCCTGGTCGAGAAAATGACTGAGTACGTTGAGGATGCTGATTTGTGCCAATTTGACTCCTGATATGGGGTTGTAGTCCTGGTTCCCTTCATGGGAGCCCAATGATTGTCCATCGGAATCCATTTACTAGTTGCCTTTCCAATTCAAGGGTCCGTGACCAGGCCCACTATCTCCAAATAATATTTGTTCACCGTGCCAGCCGCTGATGTATGTTGATGTGTCTTCAAAATAAGGAGCCGCCGCTCTCAACTGGTTTGCAACTTGTGTTGGTTGCCTACTTCGGTGTTCGGCCAGGCTAGCAAGTAAAACACTTTGTCAAAATCAACCCACGAGGACGGCCCCTAGGCGGATTTCATCCTGTCGTGGGTTGTAAGCCAGGCCACCAACCACATTCTAGCTTGGTCGAGCATTTAACCCCAACATGTAGGGCTTTTGTCAAAGCGGACCAAGCAAATGATCACCTTGCAGGAAATGGCGCCCGGCTTTGGCGATGACAAGCCACAGCCCCGGCTTTTGGCAAATAGCGCCCCTCTACCGAAAAGATGAACCCTTCCTGGATCTGTGGTCTCCTCAGATATATAGGGTAGGCTCAGGTAGGCTAAATCTAAAACAGGATCTGAACATAATAGTTTTTGTGTCCCTTTGGAGCCTCGTCCAACCAAGAACAAGGCGTTTGTCTTGTCCTATGGCCGCTGGGTCTGGGTTATTCCATCACTTCAAAGCGTCAGCACATTGCGAGCATGCAAGAAGCTTACCCAAATGACTCGAATGAGCATTGATTTTGCGCAACGCAGGGCTGTCTACTTTCTGGCTCTGGCTGTTTAGTGCAGTTTTACTGCTATGGGCTGCTGAGGAGAGAAAGGGCCAGCAAGGTGTTCAAAGCCCCTTTGAGAACCCTAAGCTGCCAGGAGCCGTCCCAAGTTGGGCTGTCCTTGGGGCAGAGTAACCAGATGATGGGGGCAGCGTAGGGGTGGCAGGTTGGGAACTTGGACATGTGAAACAAAATGTCCCGGGCCCTCAATCCGTTCACATTTGGTTGAGAATGTGTTTAATTTTCCCTGTTGGTTTTAACGGGGATCTATCACTGCTGGACATATGTCCATTGTTTCTAGGGGGCTTGAGCAAACGGAGGTTAGCCAATGTTAGTTTTCCCCAATAAGAAGCCACAAAGGGATTGGGTATGTTTTTTGTTTTTGTTTCCTCTTCGGATTTATTTGATCCTCGATTCATCCCAAGATTCCTGCCGCCTCAATCCCGTGGCTCTCGACAGACGTTGTTAACTGTTGCAGGCGGTGTTTCCTTTCATTGGGGTCCTTTGTTGGGGGTTGGTTAAGTCTTTGTTGTTTTTCCAAGCAAATTAGCGCTACTTTCGAACTCCTGGCGTCATGTGCTGACGCTTTTCGTTTGGGGTCCAAAAGAAGGTTCGGGCCCGTTTTGTCAACTCCAAAGGGGGGCCCTCTTTTCCACCGATTTTGTTTTCTCTATCTCGCTGCTGAGCATGCAACCCCAAAGAGACGGGAGGATTGATTCTCCCTTTGAAAGACCCCCTTCTAGATTTCCATGTTAATCTGCAGGAGTGCAAGGCAGTTTTGCCACCCTCAAGGTGTTTTTCATAAAGCCACCCAAGCAGAATATGATGGGTATGTACTGGAAGTGGTTTGGCTAGTGCGGCTTCTTTAGACCTTCCCTCGGCATGAGCACCCTGAATGGGAAAGCTGGGCAAGTAGGTGCCACCCCATCATTCCAGTTGTCGCAATTCATGAGGTCCCTCAATTGCCAACTTTGGATTTCCAAAAGCAGAAGATGCATCGAAACCCACCTTAGAATGAATCGACTTGTTTGAGCAAATCCAAAGACCCCTATCATTTTGTTCTTGAACTGTCGCCTGCCAGACCCTGTGTGTACCGAAAGGGCCCGGTTTCAATTGAGTTGCTTCTCTTTTTCAACCCCCAAAAGGGGATGTCTGGCAAAAGAAGTACAACACAGAAGTGGCAGACCTGGTCTGTCACCTTGCGGAGGGAGGAAAAGTAAAGTGGGCTGTGGTTCCAACCCGATCGACGTTTCACGAGCTTCCCCACAAGGCTTTTGCCGAAATGGTCCCATGGGAAGCCTGGATGCAGAAATGCCGACCGGATTGAAGGAAGTACTTGTGTATGTTTCTCCCGTAATTTCACTCCCTGAGTTCATGGACTTTGCACTTTTTGGACAGACCAGTTTAGTTTCGTGGCAAACAATAAGTTTGGACTTTTTGTCACGCCATTCAGGAAGTAGATGTGCCTTACTTCAATTCGCGGGTGGTTCATGCAAGACATGAACCCCCAACCCCCCAAACCGCCTCCGGGGCCATTTCAGTTCTAAAGCCGAGGCCCAAGAAGCCGGGCGCGCCCTGGTCAGGAGAATGGGGATCCCAGGCGGTCAGGTGGCCTCGGATTTTTCGCTCATTGCCCGAGTTCCTTTGTAGACTTTGGGCCATTTTGGCGGACAGATAGGTGGGACGGTTTCTTGGCCGGTCACGAAATATTCCGGAGGACTGCACCAATCAGGGGTGGCGTTTCCTTTTGGCCCGGACATGATGGCCCTCCTAATCAATCCGAGGTGAACATTGAAAGGGGTTCCTATATTTGGGTTTTTGGTGGTTTTGAACATCACCTTTTGGGCTGAATTGTGAATTGGGGCGAGTTCCCTGCATTTGCGATTCAAGGGTAGAAACGCGGAATCCTGCGCAACCCGAAGGGGCCGCCCAATATCCCAGCGGACTGAGGAGAGGTTGAAGGACGCTTTGTGCTGCGGGACTCAATCAGGCGACTGAATGAAGAACTTGAACGTCAAGCCCAACGAAGCACTGGGTAAGAAGAAACCTAAGGGCATCATCAGCACTGAGATCCTGGCATGGTCAGGCATCTATTCGATGCAGGTCTGCTGGAGGACCTAATCTTCCACATCCCGATGTTCGAGAGCAGGTCGATCAAGCATGCCAGCCCAATCAAACTTGCTGCCTGAATGGCCAAGCGAGCTGGGACGTTGCGTCTTGCTGCTAGCCTTGTCTCTTTTCAGATGATGTGTGTTTTTAAGCTCACCAACAAAGCACCAGAATCGAAGATGATTGTTGGATGGTCCATATCCGGGACGCATGGAGATACTTACGGTGTATTTTTCTATCTCCTGCTTAAGGTTTTTGTTGGGGGGGTTGGACCTGCAAAATTGTGTCCAGATTTCCATTGCACGGACCCCGTGGCTTGCACGAGTCAACTCGGTTTCGGGTAGCCCAGCGATTCCGCCCATGAAGGTCCCTTAGGGAGTCTTTTTGTCAGCTTGATGCTTTACTGTAATTAATTCAGACTGAACAATATGTTCGAGGACATCCATGATAGGGACACAGCAGGCATCATCCTACCAATCATCAAAGGGAAGTAGCGGTGGTCAATAAAAAGGGCCGACGCTTTAGTCGCGCTTGCTTTCGGAGAGCAAAATAATGATCCCCGTAGCCCCGTTTTAACGCCATCTTGGCGGGCGAGAGGCTTATGGACGACCCTTTCATGATGGATAGAAGGCAACCCAACGAAAATGAGCAAAGGAGCACCAGCCAGGTGACGTACCAGTTCGTTGAACCTGATTGGTCCCCTCGGGACTACAATCCATCTTCTGATTGGGGTAATATGGAGAGACAAGAGGATCCGTACCCAAACCCCCCCAGAAAGCTTCTATCAAAAGCATTTCGAACAGAACCCTCCAAGAAGGTCCTCAGCGCTTCTTCGCCAACATCAGGGAGGCTTCTGGAGGGTTTCAGAGGTTCCGGGCCTTTGGTATTTGCCCTGTTTCGGTTGAACAATTTTGGATGCGGCCTAAATGCTGGGATTTCCAAAGCTGCTAGCTTTCCCTTGGAAGGCTATCCTGAAGGGGGATCCCGGGGGGCTCTTATTTTAGTAAACGCCACCAGAACAACTGGTTGGTCTCATTTAACTGTTTGTCCGGCCTTGGCACCCCCGTTTGAGAAGACAAACACAGACCGCGAGTGATGTCGGCGTTTTTCAAGCTGGGGGGGGGAACATAGAAACTGGGGAATGGACCAATGACCAAATATGCTTCCACACTTTCAGGAAACACTCACTTCCCGAGTTAAGTAGACTTTCTACTTTCTACTTTGTCCTTTTGCACAGAAACAGGTGTGGGATATTTTTGGGCCGATCTGTGCGAAGACCTCCCATCGGATCCCATCGTTCCAGGATCCGGGTCTACAGGCAGCACGTCGGCTGCGACCCCCTCTGAGAGCCAAGGCTCCCTGGCTCTCGACATAAATCGACGCGAGTTCGGTTCCCCAAAGCTCGCGGGGTCCACGCGTTGTGTTGCTTGTGTTGTTGTTTGTGCTGCGTGTTGTGTTTGGTACGTCTTTGTGTCTTTGTCTTTTTCTGCGGTTGTCTGCTGTGGATTTGATGTGTCTGTGTTTGTGTTGATAGTACTGAGAGTTGTTTGCGTTGCTGTGATGTGTTGTTTGCTTGCCTTGTGTGATGGGGTTTTGCCGATGCTGTCCATCTTCGAGGTTTGGATCAGTTTTTTTTTGAGGTTTCTCTCGGTGTTGTTGTAGGATGTGTTTTGCAGGGAATCAGCGAGATGTTTTTGGCGAATCCTAAACCACCGGAATGCAGCGGGCCCGCTCTGCCCGCAAAGAAAGGGCGGTCTTTTCTTGCCACCTTTGCAAAAGAGGCCCTGAGAGCTAACAAAAGGAACCAGGAACCCCAAAAGTTTGTTTTAGCCCAACAGGACAATCCCGCAAGGTTTTGTGGTTCCATATTCGTTGTTATGGGACCAGCCCCCGCCTTTTTCTAGGAAGCAACAGACCGAACAGGCTGGTCTAAAACTAGAGTCACCGTCAGAATCAGAATTTGTTGATTCAATACCATGTGCTTCTTGTCCATTTGGATGTCCTCGACTACTATTGAGCCTCACAGAGCGTCCCTTGAAAGGAACATGGCTTTTTACGTTGGCGGAAAGGGGCTGACTTCAGCACATGTTTTCGTTGTGCATGCGCTGGGCGGAACCGCACGAGTTGGCCCGACATTAGTCAGCCAGGCCTTTCAGATCTAAGCGATTCTGATGACGACAGGCTGGCGGGGGAAGGCAAAAAGACTGGTTTGGAAGGCAGGCAGCCGATTCCAGTCTAGTCCATCAGCATGGAACCAGAAGGTCTCCCCAGATCTCCCAGTCGGGCTCCATGGTAACGTAGATGGGTGCCTCCAAATGTTGTTTCTCGACGCGGGGAAACAAGCAATCCAGGCCGAGAACCGGCAAAGTGGCAGGTCCCTGGATTCTTGCGTTACCATCGCATGTTGCAGAATACATCTCCGTCCGGATCCTGCGCCCCTGTTTGCTTGGTGTTTGAAGGAAGCTAGAAGGCAGCCCAGCATCTTAAGCGGACACTATTTTAGATATGTTGATTTTTCGTGAGAAAGTGAGTTGCGTTTAACTCGCGCTTTTCTTGAATCACAGGCCTCTTCTCAATTTTTGGCTGGGGCCCTTTGTGCGGCTTGGCACCATTTGGCCCAGTGGATGAATCCATTGTTACCTCTAAATATTGAAAGTTGTTTGCTTGACTATTGCTTGACTACCTGAAGGTGGAACTGGAGCTGCTCAGACCGCGTTGGATGCACATTGCATGTGTGTTTCCTGATCCGTCTGTGACATCTACTGCGAGAAAGCAAGCTGTTTCTTTGTAAGCCAATGTCTAGTACTTCGGTGGAGGGCGCAACGTTGCTGGTGGCTTTGTGCTTGGGCCACGTTTGTCAAATTGATCTCCGTCCGGATTATTCTACCGGCACCCGAATGGATATTGTTTTCCAACGGGAGCCAGGACACAAGTTGTCAGGTGAGTAGTTGATCACATGCTTGCTGACCTGATTGTCAACCGGCCCCTGATTTATAATTTCTAAGCCCTTGAGTTCTTGTGGATGGACGAAATCCTGCACCAGGTAGGATGGGTGGCATTGGGATCGCCCTTGGGTCTTTATTTCCAATGGTTTATTTGTTGGGTGTGCTGGTTAGCCGAGTAGCATGAGCTGAATTGGGGCTATATAAGACTAGCTCAGCCATGTGGATCCTTCCCTTGGGGGTTGCTTATATTTTCCCCATTTTGTCAATTATGGTGATCATCACCTGAGCCTTTAATGTGAGACAAAGATCACTAGGTCGCAACGCAGGTGGCTTTAAAAATAAGGTGGCTTCAACAGGCTGTGGGCAATCTGAGTCACTCCAGGAAGGACTTAGTGAAGTGCCAGCCGTCTTTGCCAGGAGCGTAGCAAGTGACGACACAGACGACGAGTCGCGACCCTTGGTTCCGACTCCGAGTCACGACCATCGCCCGCCAGCCTGCGGCCCAGCGGGTGACTGCCAGTCGGGTGTGTGTGGGAAGCAAAGAAGGCCAAAGTAAAGTTCTGAAAGGGTTCCATTGTACCTATGCAGGTCAATGGAATCACTGGGAAGGGCACTTTCCCCGGAAAGCCTATGCGAAATTGGCTACGAGACATATTGTGGCCAGATATTTGCAGGCCCTAGGCCGCAGGCCACCCATCAACCCAGACGTTTGCAAAGAGCACCGTACTCACAGTTGCGACAACGTTCGGGACAAGTCCCCCAGCCAAAGCCCAAAGGCAGCATTAGGAGAGGGGGCGGGGGGTTGGGACTCATGCCAATGGAAGCGCCAGCACGACCAGAATCACCACCAAAGCATATGAATAGGCCACAAAAATGGCGCATGGCGCCACACGGGCTGCGAGAAGCAACGTGCCACGCATCCAAGAGCTGCGCAAGAGTCCCGGCCAAGGCCTTAAACGATGGTCAACACCAAATGCTTCGGGCAGCATCTTCGAGCCAGCGCCACTACCACCAGCATCGTTCGCATCTGTAAAATCACCCAGTGGCCACAGTCATTGAACCCCAACGCCTATCGACCTAGAGGTTGCTTCCCGTCAGAAGGAAGCCCACAAGCATCCTCCAAACGGAGATTCCTCTACAAATAAGTTGTTTGTCAAGTTCCGAACGGACTGCATGGTTGCTTTGCCCTTCGTTGGTCCAACGGGAGACCGATATTGGGTCTGCCTTGAGATTAAGGAATCGATTGGGCTTCGACATTTGAGGCACATATGAGCTACCAGCAGGATCCTCTCCAATGGTTTCCCGGGCCTTCGCCATCCGCAGTTGCGCCTCTCCTTTGAAGACTCTGTTGAAGTCGCACAAGCCAACCATGTCGAGTTGTTTTGTCATTTGGAGACACATACAAACAAACTATCAGTCATTCGGAGGGGTTGAAAGCTTAGTTCTCACTAGAGCTCTCGCATGCCGCCGCTTTGCCGAATGTCCTTTTCCGCACGAATCCAGCCATTTGTGTGTGTGAATTCTTGGAGGGTTCCCTTTCCGCCTTAGTTTTAAGGGAACCAAAAGAAAGCCACGATTGTGGGGGTCCAAATATCTATTTCGTGGGGTCTTGATCCCCGGCTTTCTTGCACGGAGGTAGTGGACAGCTACGACGTGGTCGAGGCGCTCGTGTTCGCGTCAGGTTTAAAGGCTGAACCGTGCCTCTTGGATAGACCACCCCAGTAAGTGGTTGATGTTCCAGTTCAGTCCCCTCAGTGGGAGTGGTGCTACAATTCACGCAGTTGCGGGACTGAGAAAACTGGGAATGTGAACTACTTGCTGAATTGGTCGATTATCCTTGTGCGGGTAAGTGCCCTTACAGGGTTGCTCCGAGCCTCTAAGAGATGACCAAAACACAAGGGTGGAAGACTGGTTCGGTTCTCTTTTTTACACTTTGGGACCAAACCTCTACTTCTGTGCCAGGCTCTTTCGAGCAGCCTCAGATGTACCTCATGATGCTTATAGATAGTTACTGAGGATGTAAACACGAGCAGAGCATAGTACAAAAGAACGGGGCCCCATACGAGGTTGAGCCCTGAGCTAGGACAAGACATGGCGCTTTTGCGTTGTGCTCAAACAAACTGCCAAAAGGGTTCCCTGGACGTTTCTCCATCAGGCGCATTCGCCGCATTCAGAAGGCAAGCTGCCCCCATTTTGATCTGTGAACAACTTGCAATGTCATGGGTTTGAGGAGGAAGCGCACAGAGGGTCCAACCAACTTGCCCATGAAAGTGCCTTGCTTGCTTGAGGCTCCCTGAATTCACATTCTGGAAGCATTCTAATTCGCTATGTTTTGTTCTGGCGGAGACCTCCTGAACTGCTTGATGAACTTTGGCATAACGCATGCGGGTAGGCTTGTTCGCCTTTTGTTTTGAAAGGGAAGCCCAGGGGCCCCACCATGTTTGGGATCCATTTTCTCGTTTTCACACACCCAAATGTGCAGACTGGTAGCGCATCAGGGGCCCTGGCATGCCCTGGCAGCAGTCTCTGCAGATTAACATGGAGCTGTTTTCAAAAGAGGAGATTCCTCTATGGGTTTGTTTTGCGCGGTCCATGTAATTTTGCAGGAGTAGTGGTTTCTTGCCATGTTTGCACAAGCCTGGTCCAATAGCATTTGTCAGAATGCAGGCGTTCGGCATATCATTTGGGCGTTCGGCATATCATTTGAATCGTGAGTGCCGCCAATCTGAGATAGTGTGAACAAAATTTAGTAGGCACAAGTGAATGACATCAGTCTGCCTGTAAGGTCAACCTCAATCGAGGCAAACGATCCCGCTGGCACTCGAACCACGGCTCAGGCTTGCATTGACTGCCCCCCCATGAATCAATGTGGAAAGCCAACTATTCTCAAGCAGTCTGCCTATTTTGCGGCGAGCTCACGTGAGAGTAAAGCCAGCTCACCATGATGTAGATCCTTTACTTGGGGATGCCTTGTTTCAGCTTTTGGGATGATTGTATCAAGTGCAGATGAAGCTAGCGACGTTCAGAATTGGTATGTGTCGAAACCAGGGCCCCGTGCTCGGATATGTTGAAAGGGGCGCTAGCACAAGACCAAGCATGGCAGCTCTTGACGAACTGGGCTGCATGGGTATGTGTCAAGACTCCAACTGCGGTTTTCCTTCGGGCTTCTAAGCCAGAGTGATGAGGAGAGGTACCCTCAAAAACACCCACCCAACGTGCACTCTGAATGCTGCCGCAGTCTGCCGTACCTCTTGAAGGAAGCCACAATGAGATGGATGTGTTCCATGTTTGGACCCCAGGAACCCGAAGGGGATGAATTCCCAGTGTTTCAAGACCCATCTATTTGTGTTTGTTTTTGTTTCTTTTTCTTTTTTCTGCTGCCGCATAGTTGTCGTTTCCCACAAATGATAAGGGCGTGGATATTGGCTTTGCGGTCCCTCTCTGTAATTACCCCCAAAGCATGGAAATGCAGAGTCCCTCGCTCAAGAGGACGGTACTTGTGCGCTCGGCCAAGCTCGCAAGTTGTTGGTAACTGTTAAATTAAAACCCACTAGTAGGTCCCCCCAAGTGACATCATCCCTGTTATTTGCGGGTCACAACACAAGTGGACTCGCTCAACCGAAGGAAAAAACAGATGCCTGCACCACACCGATAGGCTGTGAAGCACTTTGCATCGCAGCGCGGAGCCGATCCGAAGCAGCAGAAGAGAGAGGCCGGGAGCCATAGTGCCCAAG